TCATGTACTTGTAGTAATAAAGATTATTATTATTACGAATTATAATAGGTGCTGTATGTCACAGCTTACAATAAGATGATTTTCCAACCAGCACTTGTATGACATAGTTATATCAGCAGCACCAACTGATAGCTTCTGGGGCTATGGGATGAGAATAAGGTCACAGTTGGTGCCATACCTAAAGTATACCTGGAGGATGTTCTGAGGGTCAATGTCCCCACGGCCCAGTCCATGACCAGGCCTCGCAGTGGATGAGAGCCTGATCAACCAGGCTGTTACTGCCAGTTGCACACAAACTGATGTACGAACCACAGCCCAGCTGGTCAGGTAATTTCTAGGTGCCTGTCCAGTTCCCTCTTGAAGACAGCCTGGGGTCTATTGGTAATTCCCTCTTATGTATGCTGGAAGGCAGTCGAAGTCTTGGGCCCCTGACAATTACTGTGTTGTCTCTTAGTGTACTCATGGCATCCTTGCTTTTCATTGGAGGGATGTTGCACCTCCTGCCAAGTCTTTTGCTTTCATATGGAGCGATTTCTGTGTGCAGATTTGGGACTAATCCCTCTAGGATTTTCCAAGTGTATATTATAATGTATCTTTCTTGCCTGCATTAAAAGGAATGCATGTCAAGGAACTTCAGCCATTTAAGGTAATTGGTGTGCTTTATTGTACTACTGATATGTGCAGTGAAAGTTCTCTATATATTTTCCAGGTCTGCAATTTCGCCTGTCTGTGGAATCTATGCCACAGAAATGCTGGATGTAAAATCATACTATTGTAAACTGTGTGACTGAGTATTTACAGCACTGAGTATTTTAAGCATGGACCTATACACAATAAACAAAAAAACCCACACATAGGAGAAAGGAGTATACGATGGTGTTGCGGTCCGACCTGAACCATTTACAAAGTCCAAGTCGGACCGAAATATCATATGCTCCTCTCTCCTATGTGCGTTTTTTTGTGTATTGTTCCAGTCACAGTACTGTGTCTTTTTGTTCTTTCTACATGGACCATTGTTTGAGTCCCAATCCATTCTTCTGTTTATTTACTGAGAATCATTCATTGTGACTTATCTTGGGTTTACATTTTACAGTACAGCACATACAAACTATGTATACACCATAAAATGAGTAAAATGAGTGAAAACTAGTGTATTTATTTTGGTTGCACAGCATATCTGAGCTAATCAATGTTTATTATTATTATTATTATAATAAAAAAGAAGCGCTAAGCCATAATCAATGTTTAGTATTGAATTATATTACTTGTTTTGCCAAATTTATACGTAGACACTTATGTACTTATGGTGGAGTAAGGTTAACATATTTTAGGTTATTTTAAGTCAGACCTAAACCACTAGGGGTTGTATAGCTCCCATGTCCTGTTGAATTAACATAAGATTTGTTGAGATTTTTAACGCAGAGGGTTAGCCAGTGCATCATCAAGGGCTGTCTTATTTCCATTGGGATTCTTTCATCTTGTCCCCCATGATGCAACCCACACCAGACAACTAACACACTGCTAGGTGAACAGGGACAGCAGCTGTAAGGAAACACACCCAGTGTTGTTTCCAGCCAGCCAAGGATTCAAATTCAAAGTTTATTCTCTATAAGGATTACAATGCTGAGTTTACAGAAATTTGGTTATTGTTTGGTTTACATGTAGTAAAATTGTGATTACAGAGTGTACCACTAGAACGCTTAGCATAGCTAGGCATTTCGGGCATACTTAGTTTTATTCTTAATTGTAAAATATTACAAATTATGAGGTAAGTTGGTATTATGGCTAAGTAACTAAATACTAGTTTGTGAGTTTAGCAATGTGAATGCTTTTGTTTTGGCACAGTACATAGTTTCAGTATTGGAGTATCACAGGATTCATTATTTTAAGACTGAGATTAATATTTCTGTTTATGGTCAAATGAGTGAGTGAGTGTAAGTGTGAACCACCAGGTGGTATTCGTGTAGTTAGTTGACGGGGTGTATCAGGGAGATAAGATGTTTTCTAATGGTAGTTTTGAAGGTGATGAATGTGTCTGCAGTTCTAGAGTTCTCAGGTAGGGTATTCCAGATTTTAGGGCCTTTGACATACATTGAATTTTTGTAAAGGTTTAGTCGGACACGGGGAATGTCGTAGAGATGTTTGTGTCTGGTGTTATGCCTGTGGGTTCTGTCACAACTATCAAGAAAGCGTTTTAGGTCAAGGTTGATATTAGAGTTTAAGGCCCTGTAGATATAGATTGCACAGTAGTAAGTGTGGATGTACTGAACTGGGAGTAAGTTTAGATCAATGAAGAGTGGGGGGGTGTGTTGCCAGGGATGGGATTTAGTGATTATTCTTACTGCAGCTTTTTGTTGGGTTATTATTGGCTTTAGGTGTGTTGCTGCAGTTGATCCCCAAGCACAAATAGCATAGGTGAGGTATGGATAAATAAGTGACTGGTATAGTGTGAGAAGGGCATTTTGCAGCACGTAGTATCGTATCTTGGAGAGGATCCCAACCGTTTTGGATACTTTTTTGGCTATATGCTGGATATGGGTGCTGAAATTCAGGTTGTTGTCAAGGTATAAGCCTAGGAATTTTCCCCCATTATTTCTGGTAATTAGAGTGTTGTCAATCTTAATGTTAATTTGTGCATCTCCTGCTCTGCTACCAAACATAATATAGTAGGTTTTGTCAGTGTTAAGCGTAAGTTTATTGGCTGTCATCCAAGTCGATATTTTAATCAGCTCCTCATTCACAATGGTGTTGAGGGTGGCAAGATTAGGGTGAGAGATGACATAAGTCGTGTCATCAGCAAAGAGAATGGGTTTCAGTTGTTGGGATACGTTTGGAAGGTCATTGATGTATATGAGGAAGAGCAGGGGACCAAGGACACTTCCCTGCGGAACTCCAGTATCAAGTGGCCGTGTTGCTGATGCTGTGTCTTTAATGGTGACGTACTGATACCTATTAGTAATGTAAGATTTGAAATAAGCAAGCGCATGGCCTCTTATACCGTAGTGATCAAGTTTGTGGAGTAGGATGTCGTGGTCTACTGTGTCAAAAGCTTTTCTTAGGTCAATAAAAATTCCTAGTGGATATTCCTTATTTTCCAATGCTGTGTAAAGCAGATCTAGCATTTTTATGATTGCATCATTAGTGCTTTTATTTTTCCTGAATCCAAACTGGCAGGGGTTGAGTATGTTTTGAGCCGTTATAAATGAATACAGTCTCCTGTGCACGAGTTTCTCAAAGATTTTGGATAGCAATGGTAAGTTAGATATTGGCCTATAGTTGTTTAAGTCTGTAGGGTCACCACCTTTATGTATTGGTGTAACCCTTGCCATCTTGAGTAGTTTCGGGAAGGTGCTAGTCTCTATTGACTTGTTAAAAAGTGATTGAACCATGGACACTCAGTGTGTGAGGTGAGTATGTTGCCAACTGAGCCACAAATTCTGTATAATTCTGGATATATCAGTGTATGTGACCCATGAAGTGTCTTAATTTATCAAGTTAAACAGGAGGGCTGGTCTGAAACTAGACAACAGGAGCGATGATCCCGGAACAAGCAACAGATAAGAAACAATTTGGGAACAGGTCTAGTTACTATGACAGGGCAGGCAGGGCCAATATTATGCAAGCAGGCAAGAGTCGCCAACGTGACAGGTGGAAATGACCAATATGACATGGACGAGTGGCCACTATAACATGACCAGGAGTTGTCAGGCAAGAGTGGCCAACATGACTCAGGCGGTACAAGAACGGTATACAATACCGACAAGATGAAATTGAGACACATGTGCAACATCTGGGTATCTTTATTGTAGACGTTTCGCCATCCAGTGGCTTTATCAATACAAATTCCAGGACATAACTTGAAGACGGACCTACTTCCACTGGGGAATCCCGCCTACCAGTGACTATGCCCTCGTCTGCTACCCGTCCCATTTCCACCTGACGTTACTATATAAGCGTCAGGCGTCTTGCTTCTGCTTCAGAATCTTCACGACTATGGTGCTCTTCGCACCTACTGCTAGGTTAAGGGACTGATTACCTCATCTTCTGTACATAGTTCTCCTGTCTTCAAGTTATGTCCTGGAATTTGTATTGATAAAGCCACTGGATGGCGAAACGTCTACAATAAAGATACCCAGATGTTGCACGTGTCTCAATTTCATCATGACTCAGGCGGGCGGGTAGGAATGACCAAAATAACGCAAGTGGGTGGGCAAGCAGAAGTGGCTAAGCTTGCCTAAAATGCTCTGCATAACCATGGGCTTTCACATAGTCAAGTGTCACCCATTTCTTTGTAAACAATGTATCATGTAGAAATAGACTTAGACTTTGATATGACATGGGCTAGCAGGCGAGAATGGCCAGTACGACACAAGGGGAGGGCATGAGTGGCCAGTATGACGTGGGCAGGCAGGCAAGAGAGGCCAGCATGACGTGGGCAGGTAGGCAAGAGTAGCCAGTATGACGCGGACGGGCAGGCATGGGTGGCCAGTATGACGAAGAAGGGGGCATGAGTGACCCTTATTCAAAGTTTATTCTCTATAAGGATTACAATGTTGAATTTACAGAATTTGGTTATTGTGTGGTTTACATGTAGTTAAATAATGATTACAGGGTGGGTAGGCATGATGGCCACTATGACGCGGGCGGCCAAGCAAGTAGCCAGTATGACGAGGGAGGGGGCATGAGTGACCATTATGACGTGGGCGGGTAGGCATGAGTGTCCATTATAACGTAGGCGGGCAGACATGAGTGGCTAGTATAACGCGGGAGGGTGCATGAGTGGTCATTATGGCGTGGGCGGGCAGGCATGATGGCCACTATGACGCAGGTGGCCAGTGTGACGAGGGAGGGTGCATGAGTGGTCATTATGACGCGGGTGGCCAGGCAAGTAGCTATTATGACGTGGGGGAGGGGGCAATGGGTGGGCAATTTGAGGCGGGTGAGGAAGCAACGTGCGGGCATCAAGTTTGAAGGTGGCGGGGCGGGTGGGCTGGCTGGTGGGCGGCAGCGGCAGTGCGCATGCGCTCTACACTCTACACGTGATACAACGTAAACAAATGTAGGGTCAGAGCGGCTAGGATCAATGTGAATATTCAAACTGTGTCTGCCACCGTGCCACTAGCACCACCAGCACCTCCACTACACCACCTACACCCACGTAAGTCACTCCACTACACTCCAGGCCACACACTGGAGGGTAAACCACCACCTCCTCCTCCACAACTCAAGTCTCAACACTCCTTTTTTTGTGTGTGTGGTATTTTGAAAGTGATGCTGCCAGTTAATGTTGGTGTGTGGTAGTTAGTGGCGCCGGGTGCTAACCTGAGTGGTGATGGTGTTAGTGGAGCAGTGGTGGGTTTGTGGTGCTGGATCTTAAACTGCTTTGTTCTGCTCTCTCTCTCTCTCCCATACTGCTGCTGCTGTTGCTGTTGCTGCTGCTGCTGCTGCTGCTGCTAGTTAGTCATGTCCTTCTAACTGTTTTGTCTTGCCATATCTTCTATACTGCTGCTACTCCTGCTAGTAGTGTAGTAGTGCTGTGTGTGGTGATTAGTCGTATCTCTCTAACTGCTTTGTCCTGCTGTCCTATACTGCTGCTTCTGCTAGAAGGGTAGAGGTAGTGCAGTTTGTGGTAGTTAGAGGTATCTCTCTGATTTGTCCTCTTGTCTCTCATACTGCTGCTACTGCTTCTGCTTGTAGGGTAGAGGTATTGCTGTGTGTGGTGGTTAGTGATCTCTTCTGACTGCTTTGTCCTATTGTGTCTCATACTGCTGCTGCTAGTAAGATAGAGGCAGTGGTGTGAGATTGTTAGTTGTGTGTGTGCTGTTCCCCATGCTGTTGCTAACAGGGAAGAGTAAGTGCTGGGTGTATGAGGGTTAATGGTGTCTTATACTCCTGCTGTTACCACTATAAATTACGTACTCAAAATTTTTATCTGAATTACCTTTAATAACAATGGGAATGCATCATATTCTGGAGTGAGACAAAACAGTTATAATCTCGCCTTTCAAAGGGCTCTCTTGATGCTGGTGAAAGGCCTTTCAATCAAGGAATTAGAGCTATGCTTTCATTTGGATCAAACCTAATTACAGCACCTCCCACTCCAAGGTGTAAGAGCTTTAAGATACAGTATTAGTGATTTCCCATGACTAACAAAAATTTAAGCCCACCTAATCCAATTTAATCTTGCATACTATAATCAAAATGGACTGCACTTGTATAAGTGCAGATACACTCAGACCAGAACATTTTCAGATTTGTCATACAAAACAAAAATTTTACTGCTAGTGTTATGGCTCATGCGTGAAACCTAAAGAAAATCAATCCAACCTACACTATGATAGCAACCCCAAATCATCACCTATTAAATGATTAAGATTGCACCAGAGATCAGTCATTTAATGTTCTAAATTAATGATCTGGTTTCCTTGTGGGTATTTCTGTCTTTATTTAGAAATACTTTTATCTTCATGCTAAGATAGCTCTTCAAAGGCAGTGCCGTGATACTAGTGATGGACTCCTGACCTGAAACAAAACTAGCAAGGGTTTAAAATATGTTTAGATGAGAATTTTTCTTTTAACACAACAGCTGTCTGTCACTGAAGTAGGCTGGCTCAAAAAAAGAAGAAACACCTACCATCACTCACTCCATCACCATCTTGCAAGAGGTGTGCTGAAACTATGGCTCAGCTGCCCCTCCAAACTGTAATATCCCTACCCCTCCTTCAGAGTGCAGGCACTGTACTTTCCACTTTCAGGACTCAGATCCAGCTACCTGGTTTTGTGAATACCTTCATAAATGTTACCTTGCTTTCACTCCAACAGCATGTCAAGTCAAAAAGACCACCTACCTCTTCTCACTTCTATCTAACATGCTCACACACCTATTGAATCGCCATGTTATGAAAATGTTATGCTTTTTTTTTTATATATGTAATAACAAGTGAGAAATTGGCCTGTAGTTATTGATTTCTGTTGGGTTACCACTTTTGTGGATTGGCACAACTCTTGCTAGCTTAAGTAAGTTTTAGTTTCTAGTGATTTGTTGAACAGTGCCACAATAGTAGGTGATAGTACTGTTGGCACATCTTTCAACATAAAGACCCTGTACTTCCCTCCTCCAGGAATCAAATTCAGTTTACTGGTGCACCCTGAATCCCTTCATTAATATATCCTTGCTCACACTCCAACAGCATGTTAAATCCAAAAATACTACCCAGCTTGTGTGAGCATACATGCTGAGCATACAACATGCATACTCACACATGCATGTTGGGTGCTCAGACTGTTACCACATAGATGTGTATATATTTTGACTTGAATGGAAAAAGTATTTAGGTTCATTTATAGTATTTTTTTCTGTATATAGTGCTACTTGTTTTTCTTTCAGTGGGATGTCTGGAAGTAGCAGTGGGTCCAATTCTGGCAGCAGTGTCCAAAAACGGGTTTATCTTGATTACAATGCCACAACACCACTGGCACCTGAGGTGATAAAAGCAGTAGAGCAGAGTATGCATGAAGCTTGGGGTAACCCAAGCTCAGCACATGAAGAAGGTGCCAGAGCAAGAACGGTTATAAACCAGGCTCGGGATGATGTTGCTAGGATGATTGGTGCCATGCCCCAGGATGTACTGTTCATGTCTGGAGGCACAGAGGTGAGATTGGATTTCAGTTAAAATGTTAAAAACTTTTAAACACTAATTAGTTAACTTACACTACTTAAAATGAAGTTGGAAATTTTTAATGACTGTTCTCTGCTTCCTTCAGGCCAACAATGTAGTGCTACACTGTGCTGTGACACACTTCCGCAAGTGGTGTTTATCACAAGAGAGTCCAATTTATCACCACCTTCGCCCTCACATCATAACCACTAAAGTTGAACATGATGCCATCAAGCTGCCATTGACACACAGATATGCAATTGAGGCTGGTCAGTTTTAATTTTTTAAAATAATATCTTGGTTTTGTATTTTTTGGATGTAGCAATTGGCTGCTGTGATTATTTGAGGTATTTATTCAGGCACTCCTGATTAATGTGTTTCTAGATGGCCATTATGTATTAGGTGGCAAAAGGCTAACATATACAAATTAAAGGTTCAAGCAGTTTTCCAAAGTATTGTACTGTAATTCTGTACAGCACTAAACTACTAAACAGAGACCAACTGAAGATTTTATGAATATTGCATTACTTTATTGAAACCTGTGTTTACTTGTAACTGGTTTCCCCCCCCTCCCTTCCCTGCCCTTTCTCTTTTTTCTTTCTTTTAACCCTCACATCCTGGCCAAGGGTCAGGCTTCTCTGTTGACTGCCTGTTCACCCTGCTTTTATTTATATTAAACCAAATAAAAGTAAAAGCAATTTTTGAAAAATGACAAAAATTAACTGTTCTCATTGAATATGGGGTGAATTTTAAACTTTTCTGTTTTGTACAAAAACCATATATTTTGACAGAAAATAGGGTAATTTTTAGTAATGAATTAGTATCTGTTAAAATTTCTCAAGGTATAATACATCCTATTTGAGTCAGCATAATTTTTTTTTTTTCAATGACTGAAATTGTCTTTTTGAGAAAGGGGGGAAGGGCTGCAAGTGGTCAGACATTCAGGACAGACAGGGACATGGTACTTAACTGTGGTGGTTTTTCGGTTTAGTCTTTTTTTTATCTCATCTGTGTGGTTGTTAGTCAAACGTGGTGTATGGTTGAGTGTGCGCTTCATATTTGAAATAAATTGTATGAGGCGTTACCAAGTTATACAAAAGCACATATGCCACCCAAAAAAAAGTATCAGCAGCCAGCAAAAGCCTTAAAAAAATCTAGTGGTAAAAATGATGTGTACAGTCTTTTAGGATATACAGTATACCAGATCTAAAGCAGTTTAGTTGGAGTATTGTCAAGATGTTGCATAGTTGGTGTTTTGTAACCATATTTGTTAGGGCAACACAATGCTATTCAAAAAGTAAGAATTGGAAGAAATCTGTGCACTCCTAAGAAAATGGCTCCACTAATATGTGTAGGTTAGTCATATTTGGGTTCATTTTGTGGTTCATAGACTGCATCACTTTAACCCTTTTGGTGTCGGTCCCATTGTATAACGGCTTTGAAGTCAGTGTCGGTCCCATGGTAGTACGCCATGCGCCTAGATATGAGAGAATGGGTCTATGTGGTAATTGTGCACCTCTGCAAAAACAGTGATAATGTGTGAGTGAGGTGATAGTGTTGAATGATGATGAAAGTATTTTCTTTTTGGGGATTTTCTTTCTTTTTGGGTTACCCTGCCTCGGTGGGAGACGGCCGACTTGTTAAAAAAAAAAAAAATCCTGCAACGCACAGTGCATAATGAGAAGAAAACTGTGACTGTGTTCTTGATTGAAACAGAGACTTTGCGGTGTATTTTCATATGGTTTTTACTGGTATATTCTCAGTTTCTTAGTCTCAATTGAGAGAATGGAAGATATATTACAGAAATAAAGATGATTTTGGTTATTTTCAGGACTGAAAGCTTGAAATTGAGCTCAGAGTAGCAGAAATGTTTGATTTATGCTGATTTTCCGAAGTACACAAATAATGTCACTTGTTCAATACCCGTCCAACTTGCCAGTCCAATACACATTTAGAAATGCATGACATTATTTATACAATTATTACAGTTATGCAGTAGTCTGTATAACAGTAAGTCTTCTATTTTTTATATGAATAAAAATTCAGAATGGAAAGCACGAGTAATTAATATTAGAGGGGCCTGGAGACATGACTAAGAAACAGTGCCAGGAATGTCTACATTGTTTATTATGGGCCCTATTTTTAAATTAGGACTTTCAAATTTTGTGTGAAATGGACCAAATTACTGATTTCTGATCACTTTATTGCGTAGTTAAAATAAGTAAATGGGCGGTTTCTTGTATTCATTCAATAGAATAGAAGGAATACTAACGAAATAGATATGAGTTTGGTCAACTGGAACAATGGAATTGGCCAAAAATAGAGAGCAAAGTGGGCAAAATTGCTGATGCATAAATGTCTTGTTTTAAATACATATTTCATATTGGAAACAGATTTTATAATTAAAGTTTTTGTAAGCCCTTGTGGTCCCTGGGATACCATGAATTCTTGGATTGCTTATCTGGTAAATTTAAAAATAATTTTTTTTTGCTTTCAGATAAGTGAGTAGTTTTACTTTATTTATTAAACAGTTCTTCTGATAACTCTGACAGCAAAATGCTATGGCATATAATCTTACTCTTCTAAATTAATTATCTAAACTGATAAGGATGTCCATAAGAGGTACTTTTTATGAAAGTTTTGTTTCAATTTTTATTAATTTGTAGAAAAATCACATTGTTCCAGTTATTAAAATGAGAACATAACAAATGTTAGTTAATATTACAAACAAGGCTTCCACAGATTTTCAAAATCTCAGAAACTGCTTACACACTCCTGTTCATTTTTTATTTTATATTGCCAGCTTGTGAAAACCAGTAGCCTTAAATTTTATATTTTTTATATTTTCTTTGTTTCTTGGTGAAATAGCTTTTATTTTATTTTATTTAACATTTCAGACGTAACATACCTGGGTGTTGAGAACTTACCTGAAGCAGTCCTAGAGTCGATCCGGCCCTCCACATGCCTCATTACAGTTATGCTGGCCAACAATGAAACTGGCATTATGTTTTCGGTGGCCCATATTGGCAGGTTTGTTACTTAATTTATTTCCATCATCTATAACTAGTCTTTATGTATATTCAGTTGAGTAGGGTACTTTTTTCACATGTTGCACAGAAGTGGGTAACCCACTTTTCTCCACGTTTTTAACACACTTGAAAACAATCCCAAATTATCCATCCAGTATCAGGGACTCTCAAAATCATTTTAACACAATAATGGCAAAGTTGCAAAGGTTAGTGGATGAGTTTGGGAGGGTGTGTAAAGGAAGAAAGTTGAAAGTAAACTTAGATAAAAGTAAGGTGATGAGGGTATCAAACAAGTTAGATAAAGAAAAATTGGATATCACATTGGAGGGAGGGAGTATGGAAGAAGTGAATGTGTTCAGATATTTGGGAGTAGATTTGCCAGTAGATGGGTTTATGAAGGATGAGATTAACCTTAGAATTGATGAAGGAAAATAGTTGAATGATGCTTTGAGGAGACAAAAAAAACGTTATCCATGGAGGTGAAGAAGGCAATGTATGAGAGTATAGTGGTACCAACACTTATGTGGGTGTGGAGCATTAGTTATAAATGCTGCAGCAAGGAGGCAGCTGGAGGCAGTGGAGATGTCGTGACAAAGGGCAATGTGTGGTGTAAATATTGTGCAGAGAATTTGTAGTGTGAAAATTAGGAGGAGATGTGGAGGTACTGAAAGTATTAGTCATGAGGGCTGAGAGGGGCTGTTGAGGTGGTTTGGTCATTTAGAGAGAAAATGGTTTTTTAGGACCTGACGAGCTGTTTCGAGTGTGAGCAGGGTAATATTTTGTGAAGGGATTCAGGGAAACCGGTTAGCTGGACTTGAGTCATGGAGGTGGGAAGTACAGTGCCTGCACTTAGCCCTTAAACTGTCCAAACGCAAATCTACGTTTGCATGCATAGCGCTCTGACCTTGATTTTCTCCATAAACAATGTAAAAAAACGTAGATCTACGTTCAGAGCGCTACGCGAGCAAACATAGATCTATGTTTGGACAGTTTAAGGGTTAAAGGAGGGGTTTGGGATATTGGCAGTTTGGAGGGATATGTTGTGTATCTTTATATGTATATGCTTCTAAACTGTTGTGTTCTGGGCACCTCTGCAAAAACAGTGATTATGTACTGAGTGAGGTGAAAGTGTTGAATGATGAAAGTATTTTCTTTTTGGGGATTTTCTTTCTTTTTAGGTCACCCTGCCTCGGTGGGAGACGGCCAACTTGTTAAAAAAAAATAGATCTTTCTTTCTTCTTTCAACACACCGGCCGTATCCCACCGAGGTGGGGTGGCCCAAAAGGAAAAACGAAAGTTTCTTCTTTTACATTTAGTAATATATACAGGAGAAGGGGTTACTTGCTCCCGGCAATTTAGTCGCCTCTTACAACATGCATATATATTTATATATATATATATATATATATAATCATTCATATTGTTCGAAGTCCTACATTACTAACAGTTTTCCATTTTCCTTACAAGGCTCAATGCTTCTCTGTTATTGACAGTATGTGATGTCCTCATTTTTGTTGTCATTCTTTTCATCATCTCTTGCCATTTGGCACTGAGCAGTGCAGAGTTGCCATAATCTCCTGTTATAGCCTCCTCCATATCATATAATTAGTCAACCCAAGATGTGGTGGGAGGTCATTTGGGTATCTGATGCTATTATTGAGGATGGGGATGAAACAAGAATGTATGGCATAATGTATAGGTGTTAAATACTGTAGTACAGTAGTAGGATGTGGAAGTTGAAGCTGTAAGATGGGAGTCTTTTAGTGCAGTTGGTGAGGAAAATAATTTAGTGGTACATTCAGAGAATAATGGATAATTAATAGTTAAGGAGAATAAAATGAAATGAGAGAGAAAGGACAAGTGATCAAATTTATTCATTAACCTTGTTGGTAGGGGAAAGCTTGGAGTATGTAACTTTTTAAGGAATAGTTTTGGAAGGTAAAGGCTGATTGTAACATGTTTGGACTTGCAAGTTTTTTTCTTTTGTGATTTTCTGCAGTTGTAATGAATTCTTTTCACTGATAGAATTTTGTATATCTTTTGAAAGGCTATTAACTGAGGTAAACAAGAAACGTGAAAACGAAGGGTTGTTCAAGGTCCTCCTTCATACAGATGCAGCACAGGCTATTGGTAAGGTTCCCGTGGATGTTACAGACCTCAACATCGACTACTTATCCATTGTCGGACACAAGGTATATACATTTCATTTTTTATATAGAATTTGCGATAAGATAGTTATGAATCTCATTGCTTGCAGTCTTGTTTTAAATGCTTTTGTGTTGAAAACCTGAGCAACCAGCTTGTTAGTAATGTACCAGTAACCTTTGACAATAGATATTCACTGCTTTGCTGAAAGTATTATGAATCTTAGTAATATTACATTTTTTTTTTTTTTTTCATTCCATTTCCTTTTCTGAACTATTTACTTGAGAATATTGAAGACATGGATTCATGCTTTAAAATTACAAAGTATTGTATAGCTGATAGAAAAGTTAGCAGGCATTCCTTCAGAGTGCCTGTACTCTGAAGGAGCATTGGGGATGTTGCAGTTTGAAGGGTCATCTAAGCTGTAATGTTTTATTCCCTCAAACTTTCTGTATATGCATGCAGTATTAAAGAGTAGAGGGGAAGTGCAGTTAGAATGGATATGTAAAATATGCATAGGAACATGGAGTCTTAGCAAGTGTTATGAGAACTGCTAAGGCACAAATGCTCTTACCATTATCTGGATGTTTTATGGCAGGTAACTGATATATTGGAAAGTAGATGAGAATAAAGATGTGTAAAGTATTATAGAGATAGTTTAGATCAGATCTTTGAGTATTGTGGGGTGTTTAACAACTTCATACATTACAGCAAGTTATACCAAAGAACTTGCATTGAATCTACCAAATTAATCACTTCATACATTACAGAAAGTTATACCAGAGAACTTGTATAGAATACCAGAGTGTGTTAATTCCCACTGTTTCAACAAATGGTAACTGCTAAACAGATGCAGAAATGTTAAGACAAAGGAGAAAAATAAAGCATACCATAGTTAAATAAGTAGAGGAGTTGTTAAAATAAAGGGTAATTTAGAAAGAATGGGGTGGGTCAAGTTTATTGAGATGAGTGTATCTTGAGTACAGTAGATGGAAGAATGTGTGGTGCATGTCCAAGGGAGGTTGGAATAATGGTGTGAAAGAGGTACTAAACGGAGAGTTAGTGACTTGAGAACACGTGAACCATTTGCAAATGTTTTGTTGGGGTGGAGGCAAGTGTTGTGCCATGATCATGTAAATTTTTTTGATGGTATTCAAGGAGTCTGTTGAGCCAAGCTTGAGTTATGATGTGGAGTCTACAATGTTTGCAGTTTGAAAGTTTAGTGGGGGATGTTGCAGTTCATTTTGCCATCACTGAATTGTGATGTCTGTGCCACTCCAGAGTGGGAGGTGGAAACATAACCATAGTACCAACTGAGTATTTAAAAATCATATGAAGACTTGATTAGTCATTCAGTTGATAGGCTACTAATAGTACCAGAAATCACATTTAATGAGACTTACCTGTGACTAGTTTCAGTTGTGCTCACAGCCCAAGCTAAGGGCAGACTCCCATTGATTGCCTGATCAATCAGGCAGACTGCAGCCCACAGGCTTGCCTGTCTATCATAACCTGGCTGATCTGGCATTTGCTACAAACTAAGTGCTGTATAGCCCTTGTGGCTTAGCACTTCTTTTTGATTATAATAATAATAATACAAACTAAGTGCTATCATTCTACCACAGCTCATTGCAAAGTTTTTTCCTAGCATTTTTCTCCTTTTCACTTTTTTCTTTTCTCTACAATCTTTAAAGGTATCACAGGTATACAAAATTGATTCTGTGAATTTTTACTTTTTTTTTCAGTATTATGGGCCTCGCATTGGTGCATTGTATATTCGTGGTCTAGGTCACAAGACCCCTGTTTATCCAATGTTTTATGGAGGTGGACAGGAGCGTGGATACCGGCCCGGCACAGAAAACACTCCAATGATTGTAGGATTGGGTCGGGCATCACTGCTTGTTCATAATAATGTCCAAGAGTACTATGCATCAATGAAAAAAACTAGAAACTACATGGAAAGACAATTAAAGGTCTGTTCATTATGTGAGCAACTACAGATAGATTAAAACTTTTAGGTCATGTTGATGAATATGAGGTTATATATATGTATATATATTCCTGGAAAATATTTTGTAGTAATGTACTTGAAATTGAATTGTAATTCGAGAATGTTGAGAGGACTGAAGTTAATGTATGGTAGTCTGGATTATTAGAATACTAATGCAAAAAGCGCAAAATTGAAAGTTTTTTTTATTATTAGCACACTGGCCAATTCCCACCAAGGCAGGGTGGCCCGAAAAAGAAAAACTTTCACCATCATTCACTCCAGCACTCTTGCCAGAAGGGTGCTTTACCCTACAGTTTTTTAAACTGCAATATTAACACCCCTCCTTCAGAGTGCAGGCACTGTACTTCCCATCTCCAGGACTCAAGTCCGGCCTGCCGGTTTCCCTGAATCCCTTCATAGTGTTACTTTGCTCACACTCCAACAGCACATCAAGTATTAAAAACCATTTGTCTCCATTCACTCATATCAAACACGCTCATGCATGCCCGCTGGAAGTCCAAGCCCATCGCACACAAAAACCTCCTTTACCCCCTCCCTCCAACCTTTCCTAGGCCGACCCCTACCCCGCCTTCCTTCCACTACAGACTGATACACTCTTTAAGTCATTCTGTTTCGCTCCATTCTCTCTACATGTCCGAACCACCTCAACAACCCTTCCTCAGCCCTCTGGACAACAGTTTTGGCAATCCCGCACCTCCTCCTAATTCTCGGAGAGTTACACTTATTGCTGTAACTGAGTGTACCTTGTTATTTTTTTCCAGCCAGTCTGTTTACAGACCCAGTAGGCCAACATAAGTCACAACCTTGCTCATCAAACATCTTAAAGAATCTTGTCAAGCTCCTTGAAGTTCTGTAAAGTGCCAGTAATATTTTAAAAATTTGCTTGGCCCTAAAATCTTGAATTATTTATTAATATGAAAATAGTAATCCTTATGCTGTACTGGATTTATCTTTCTCCTTCTGTACCTCTCATTCTTGTAAATTATTGTTGTTGGGTACTACTTAGAGGGTCTGCCTGGGGTCTGCCTACCTGGAGGGTATTCTGGGGATCAGTGCCTCATGGCCCAGTCCATGACCAGACCTCCTGGTGGATCAGGGCCTGATCAACAAGACTGTTACTATATTTTATTTAGAAATGGGACAATACAATTTTTACTGATACCATCAAAATTTGTAAATACCCACATTCCAATACTTTATATCACACGCCCCTAATTTTATTGGTGTAAATCATTAGATACTGCTCTGTTTCTACATTCTAAAAGATGTTATCTAAATGTTTTAAAGTTGATTATTGTGCTTGTGTGAACAATTACAACTATATAATAATAATAATTACAATAATAATAATTACAACTATATAATAATAATAATAATTGGGACCTGACGATCTGTTGGAGTGTGAGCAGGGTAATATTTAGTGAAGGGATTCAGGGAAACCGGTTATTTTCATATAGTCGGACTTGAGTCCTGGAAATGGGAAGTACAATGCCTGCACTTTAAAGGAGGGGTTTGAGATATTGGCAGTTTGGAGGGATATGTTGTGTATCTTTATATGTGTATGCTTCTAGACTGTTGTATTCTGAGCACCTCTGCAAAAACAGTGATAATGTGCGAGTGTGGTGAAAGTGTTGAATGATGATGAAAGTATTTTCTTTTTGGGGATTTTCTTTCTTTTTTGGGTCACCCTGCCTCGGTGGGAGACGGCCGACTTGTTGAAAAAAAAAAAAAAAAATTTTTCATCAATATGTCAGATTCTCTGCTGACCAATTTTTGGCTTTTAAAATGACATCACAGAGGTATAAAAAAAAATATCTAGTAGATAAGATCTTTTCAGTTTTTAGTCATATTATAGTGTCATTAGTTTGGAGATACCCTTTTGTGTATATGTTTTCATCTACCATGTGAATTCTTACGAAGGCTATTTACCAAGGCATTTTTAAAAGTAAAGGAGTAAATGTTTCAGTCAAAATATATTAACTATTATGTTTGTGTTTTACTTAACAGAATAATTTTTTGTACCCTTTATCTCTTGTTTACAGAAAGTATTTGGCAACCAAGTGAAGATCAACTGTGTGGACCCATGTATACCCACAGATCCAGAAGCCTGTTCTATACCACCTCGGGGCCCTAAGCAGCAGCACTTCATTTTTCCTCGCCTTCCCAACACTTCATCAGTTTCATTTTACTACAGACAGGTACAGTATATTATAAATTAGTACTCTTTGTATCCAGGTTATTCCATTTTTTTTTTATTTATTTATTTTACTGTTTCTGTATGTGTAAGGAGGTATACTACATTGTATGCTGTGGAAACAAATGGTGCAAAGTCAACAAGAGGAAAAAGTTAAAGTTGCAGAGAGGAATTTTCTTCAGCCATTTCACCTGTGAAACATTATGATTGACTGAAGAAGTGTTTTCCATAGGCAAAATGCCTCGGTAAAGTTCCTGTGCAATTCTTTTTTTTTTTTTTTTTTCTTTCTTTCTTTTTTAACACGTCAGCCATTTCCCACCAGGGCAGGGTGACCCAAAAAGAAAGAAAGAAAAAAACTTTCACATCATTCAACACTTTCAGTATCACTCACACATAATTCCTGTCTTTGCAGAAGCACTCAGACATGACAGATTAAACATCCCTCCAAACTGCTAGTATCCCAAACCCCTCCTTTAAAATGCATTTCCCATTTCCAGGACTCAAGTCCGGCTAACCAGTTTCCCTGAATCCCTTTACAAGATGTTGCCCTGCTCACACTTCAACAGCTTGTCAGGTCCCAAAAACCATTCATCTCCATTCACTCCTATCTAACACGCTCATACATGCTTGCGGGAAGTCTAAGCACTTAGCCCGCTAAACCTCCTTACCTCCTTCTACAGATTTATACACACACCAGTCATTCTACTGTGTTTTGTTCTCTCTAAATGACCAAACCACCTTAACAGCCCCTCTTCAGCCCTCTGACTAATACTTTTAGTAACTCCACACCTAATTTCCACACTACGAATTCTCTGCATAATATTTACACCACACATTGCTCTTAGACACGACATCTCCACTGCTTCCAACCGCCTCCTTGCTGCAGCATTTACAGCCCATGCTTCACCCCCATATAAGAGTGTTAGTACCACTAAACTCTCATACATTCCCTTCTTTGCCTCCATGGACAACGTTCTTTGTGTCCACAGATACCTCAAAGCACAACTCAACTTTTTTCCTTCATCAGTTCTATGGTTAACCTCATCCTTCATTAACCCATCCGCTGACAAGTCAACTCTCAAATATCTGAAAACATTCACTTCTTCCATACTCCCTCCCTCCAGTGTGATATCCAATTTTTCTTTAAATCATTTGATACCCTCATCACCTTACTGTTATCTATGTTTACTTTTAGCTTTCTACCTTTACACAGGAAAAGAAAATTCCTGGAAATTAATTCCTGAAGTTAAATAGATACAATGTATGATCACTTTGTTGCAGGTTGCAGGCCCAGATATTCTTCGTCACTGTCGACTTGTTCAGGCTAGCTGTGGAGCATCTTGCCATGCACACACAGAGAATCAAAGTACGTGATGGTATACCATATAGTTAATTTTGCTAAACTGAAATTGATTTATAGCTGTCAAATAAATTGAAAGTACAAATAAGACTGGTTGGCAGTATCTTTAAGGAATGGATAAGAATTATATTATTGTGTATTTAATTAAGAAACTCGGATAATTGTTACACCGGGAGGTCTGGTCACAGACCAGGCTGCAGGGACGTTGCTCCCCAAAACCCTCTTCAGGTATACTCCAGGTAATAACAAAAATTTTGCATTGTTGGACCCTAAGAGTATCAGTCTCTAAAAGCAAAAAAAAAAAAAAAGTCTTAAGTTACTGTACCAATTTTGCTTTGTTTTGGCTAGGGAATGAAGAGCTTTAGCTCCTGATTAAGTCTCATAACTTTCAGCTGATTGATATGAAATAGCTTTGTCTTCTTCCACTATGTCATTATCAAGTCCATTCTCTTCATTGGCACTAGATTTCCTACTCTTTCTGCAACATTGCAAACTCCTGATATGTTGATTTCAACACGAAAGGCCTAGAGCTATCATTTTAACTTCCCTGTGGTTATTTTGCATCTTTTATTGCTCATTTGAAGTGACTGATGAGAAATGTCTTTGAGATCCCTTTTCTAACTCATTTAGAGTGCACTTCCACTTATGTTAAAGGTGCTTATGTAATTACATACTAGAGGGTAAATATACCTTGTAGAGCAGATATGTGAGTACTGAGGTTATGGTAGGAAGATATCTATACTGCTCATGACTGCTGCTAATAGATTGCAGACTCTACCTCGCTCTTTCCTGTATCATTTTTTTTTTCTAATAATTTTTTTCCATGAAAATATAAATAGCCTTAGATGAAGATTTCCTTGCATTCAAATTATTTATTAAATATTTACAGGTATCCTTGAGGCTTCAGGGGTCTGCTCATTCCATGCATCACGCACAATTCGCTTAAGCCTTGGACGGGACACCACCATGGAGGAAATTGACTTGGCTATTCAGGATATCAAACAGGCAATAGAGAAATTGATTGGCCGATCGTTGTAAATACAGCTTATGGGAGTTGAAAAATATCAGTGTGTGTGTTAGAGCCTTATTAGTAAATTATAAGGAAGGCTTTAACACAATGTATGCTCCATATGAAAGCTGCTACTCTGGCAGTCAGAAAATAGAAACCGATGTACATATGTGACTGTCTGATTTCTCTCACACACAAATAATTACATTATGCACGATGGACAAATTTACTGAAAATATATTATATAAATTGTCACATATGAGAAGTTAATTCATTATAGTTTTATTCCAATTTTATTAAATTCTTATTAAAATTTATACATAAGTTATTTTGGCTAAATATATTGTCACAGTTGTGTTATTTGACAGATATTTATTGTACTAAGGTTGGATAATTATATATGATAGGTTTGTTTCATTATTGTAATTTTTTTAATTTTCTTTTGGCAGACTGTTCTTCTAAAGTAGAGTTTGCTTTATATATTCATGCCAGTAGATAACACCACAAAGTGGATAGGCAAATTTGTACTTAAAATGTGAAGTGATTTTTTTTATTATTATTATTATTATTTTGATAATTGCACATTCAAACAGCATGGAAGAAAGTTTGAAAATGAAACATGGAATTTAGTTTGATGATTTCAGTTGCATTAATCACACTGAATGAAAAAATATATATTTAATGATGAATATTAAAAATTTGAAGAAAAATACAGTACCTTGTTAAAATACTGTTCATTATGAAACAGTACATAACACAATTTATTTTTCTTCATATTTTTTAATTACCTGTACTACACTGGTATAAATTAGGAAACTCCTTCCTATGTTGAGTAAATTCTACAAACTGACTTCAGACAACACTGCTGAGTTGTGAAATAATGTTAGACACTTGATCTGTTTTTGAAACTAATTTGAATGTTAACCTGACCCTGGTGGTCTAGCGCTTAGTTTTGATTATAATAATAATTGAATGTTAACCTGTGATACTCAGTATTTTGCATGTTTTCTTATTATCTATTGCCCCTAGTGGGTTTAGCACTTCTTTTTTATTATAATAATTCTTATTATCTGTGTTTTAGAAGTTGAGTGGGATACTACTGAAGCTTTTTTTAATAACTTTAAGCTGTAATGTGATTAGGTGAAATTTATTCAAATAGCTTAGCTTAACTTGTCACCTACCAGTGAAATTACAGGACTTGATGATAATTTCAATCTTGTCATGCATGGGACATTTCTATGATTTATTTCCCATTGCATACCAGTCATAAATTTTACAAGTTTTATTCTAAGACTTTAATATTCAGTATATACGTACTTATAAAATTTTATTCTGCAACATAGTACATTAAATGCTTTTTCCTACTTTTATTATAGGTATATTGAAGATAAAATACATAAGGCAAAATTATAAAAAAAGATCCAAGTTATTATGTAAGTAACATCATTTATGTTAGTCTCCCATAGTTTTGTGTGGGTAAATCTCGTATAATGCAAGACCCTTATGGGTTTAGCACTTAGTTGTGACTATAATAATAATCATACAATACAAATTAGTACTTCAACTTGGGAGTATTCAAGTCTATGCATTTTAACATTTTACAGGTTTTATTTGCATCAGTTCACAACTAATCCACAATTTGAGATGAAACGTTTTTTTTTTAACCTTCCACCATTGTCATGTCATTGACGTCTTCATGATATTTCAGGGTGGACAGAAACATCATCTCCATCTACTGTTTTAGTTGTGAATTATTCTGTTCTTCGGTTTGGAAATTAATGAAAATTACCTTATCTTTATGTGTAAGGTTCTTTACTGGGTATGTCCGTGTTCAGGTTAATAATGTGCTCTCCCCGGACTTTATCCAAGCTGAAGGTGTCCCCCAGGGATGTGTTCTGAGCACAACACTTTTTCTCCTTGCTATTAATGATTTGGCCTCTAGTCTTCCATCAAATATTTGGTCATCACTCTATGTTGATGACTTCGCTATTGCCTGTGCAGGCGCTGACTGTCACCTCATTACAGTTTCTCTCCAACATGCAGTCGACCGTGTTTCCAATTGGGCCACCACACGTGGGTTTAAATTTTCCAGCACTAAAACCCACCAAATTACTTTGTACCTCTATGGCTCCCGTATCCCTGAACGTGATACAGTCGAGTTTCTGGGCCTCCTCTTTGATCGTAGGTTATCCTGGAAACCTCACATTACCTCTCTGAAGGCAACTTGTCACAGCCGGCTGAACCTTCTTAAAACCCTTGCTCATCTTTCATGGGGAGCTGATCGTCGAACCCTCCTCCGCCTACATTCCACCCTTATTTTATCGAAACTTGATTATGGTGACCAGATCTATTCAGCGGCATCTCCTGCTACTCTCTCTAGCCTTAACCCCATTCATCACCAAGGATTACGTTTATGCCTTGGTGCTTTTCGCTCTTCCCCTGTCGAGAGCCTCTATACAGAAGCGAACGTTCCATCCTTATCCGATCGCCGTGATGCCCATTGCCTGCGCTACTATGTACGCTCTCATGATCTCCGCAATCCTTCCATTTATAGAATGGTCACTGATATTAGTAGACATTCTTTATTTGTTCGCCGCCCCTGTTTACTCCGTCCCTTCTCTCTTTGCCTTCATTCGCTTTTGTCTTCTCTTCAACTACCACCTTTCTATGTACATGTAGCATCTCACTTTTCCCTACCCCCCTGGGAAGTTCCAGCTGTTCGAGTCTGTTCTTTCTCTCTCCCTTGCTCGAAAGCCCAACTGTCTACGGTCGCTTCCCGCTCTCTTTTTCTTGACCACTTTCACTCTCATTCTCATGCCATTGTCGTGTACACAGATGGCTCTAAGTCTTCTGACGGCAAAGGATTCGCAGCAGTGTTTCCGGACAGCGTCGTACAAGGGCATTTACTATCTTCGGCTAGTATTTTTACTGCTGAATTGTATGCCATCCTTACAGCACTTATCCGTATTGCATCTATGCCTGTGTCATCATTTGTGGTAGTCTCAGACTCCCTTAGTGCTTTACAGGCTATACAAAAATTTGATACACCTCACCCCTTAGTCCTCCGTATCCAACTTTGGCTACGCCGCATCTTTACCAAGCATAAAGATATTGTTTTTTGTTGGGTCCCTGGTCATGTTGACGTACAGGGCAATGAACAGGCAGACACTGCTGCGTGGTCAGCAGTACATGACCTACCAGTTTCTTATAGAGCTATTCCATTTACGGACTATTTTGCTGCAATATCTTCCCACCTTCACAACCCGTGGCAACAACGTTGGTCTACTATGCTCGGCAACAAACTTCAATCTATTAAACCGAGTTATAGGTTTACTGGCCGTCTTCTTATTACCAGTGTCGAGGTTGGGAGACTACTCTCTCCCGTCTTCGCTTTGGCCATACTCGTCTTACTCATGGATATCTCATGGAGAGGCGTCCTGCTCCTCTCTGTGAGAACTGCCAAGCTCCATTATCAGTCAGCCACATTCTCTTGGACTGCCCACTTTATCAACGAGCACGCAGAATTTACCTCTGTCGTCGTCTTCGCTCCGCTACTCTCTCTTTACCTTCCCTTCTCGCTGATGGACCCACCTTTCATCCGGACTCTCTTATTGACTTTTTGACAACGACTGACTTACTTCACAAATTCTGATACTTTCAGCCCTTTCTACTTGTATCTCTTGCTACCCTCTACCCCCGTACTATCCCCTGCCCCGCTGTTTTCTGTAACCTGCTGATCATCCCCCCTCCCTCCTGCCATCCAATTCCCTTGCTTCCTTCCCTACCCTGCAGCGCTGTATAGCCCTTGTGGCTTAGCGCTTCTTTTTGATTATAATAATAATAATACTTCAATCTCTTGCTACCCTCCACCCCCGTACTATCCCCTGCCCCGCTGTTTTCTGTAACCTGCTGATCATCCCTCCTCCCTTCTGCCATCCAATACCCTCGCTTCCTTCCCTACCCTGCAGCGCTGTATAGCCCTTGTGGCTTAGCGCTTCTTTTTGATTATAATAATAATAATAATTTACTGGGTATGGCATCCTCTGTGTAAAATACCTTGTTTTAACTAAGTTGAAATCACAGATGAAGTAATATTATGGGTTTTCGGTAGACATTAAATCTGTGTTTCATTTTTGAACTTGACAGAACAATATTTCCCATGCCTTGAAATACGTATCATGAAAATGTTATCATACACTAATGTGATACATTGAGCACTTAGGTAATAACATCTGGAACAGTCTACTCGCAGATAAAATGGAAATTTCTTATATACTCTTTGTGTAACATCACTTCATAATTTTTAAGGATTTTATAGTGAGTTTTTATAAAAAAGACATAATTTGTGGTTGAACCACTGAGTCTTTGTATTAGTTCTTATGCAAATTATGTACTGCTACAGTTATTACATGAATATGTAATGTTAATTGATCAGTAGAAAAACAAGTTAGTAATATGCTAAGTTTTAAGGAAATTATTTAAGTGCTTTTTGAAGGAATGTCATAATTTTATGTAATTTAGTTATGATGCTGAAACAGCAATAGTTGTGTACCGTTTAGAATAATGCATCATGAAACTGCCATTAGATGTTAAATATTACCACTGTTTATATCTGTTGTTAATAATAAGTGTGCAACAACATTGACAGTCTAAAGTAATCAGATTAAAAGTTTTGTATAATAAATTTGAGATGCAGTAAATGATCTGGCATCAAACAGTAGATTAGCTTTCACAGAGAATCACAGTAGTATTGCTTATGTAATGACTCTTGCTCAAGTAATGTGAGACTTTTCCAGCATAAATATCCGTTTTTTTTTTTTTTTTTTTTTTTTTTCCCCTCCTCAATTGGCATTGCTTGCCTGTTTGCTTGTGTAATGCTTTCCTTGTGATCTCATTTTATCAGTTTTGTGATTTGAAAAGTAGTAGTATCTGAATAAATATCATCTCACAAATTACTTGCCCATATTTTGACAGTTTGCCAAAAGGTTTAAGTGGACATAAAAGAATCAGGTACTGTATATGTAACTAGGTGTATTGTTAATTAGTACCTGTTTTATGATTTATGTAAAATTCCTTGGGAAATTGGTTTTGATGGAGTGTGCAAGTCAATAAATTGTGAAAGATTTTTCAACATACAATCTTATGGTTTGTTAGAATCACTTGCCATCTTTGCTCTTAGAACTTTTTTTAAATGTTTAATCATTGTGGACTGTTTAACTGATATGGTTTATGGAAAGAAGCTATTTTTGTAATGAATATTCTCAATGTCTTGAAATATATAGACATGATGCTTATGACTTGTGATAGGTTTCTCTAGTAGGTGTGCTTGCTTAAAGTGGTAGTATTTGTATACAATTAAGGAACACCATTGTGTCATATTTGTTATACATTAATTAATGATGGGTTGATCTTTGAGATGGTAACTTTACTGGAGGTTTTACTGTGATTATTGTTTGGTCTTTTTGTAGTTTATGACAAGCAATGGTGTTCTGCTTCTGCTTGGACTGACCTCTAGCTGCCGTGGCCAGTAGAGTTTCCTTGTGTTGCTCTACAAGCAACTATCAGCATGAGTGTCACCTACAATGTGTCTCCAAGAGGCCAGGACGTTTAGAGCTCTGATCGTTTGTTGGTTCAGTCTTCCAGTATATTGAGTGGACAGAGTTTGAGGGTTTTGTGCCACTTGCATCACAGTGAAACATTTATCTAGCTCACAGGGTAACATTTTTAACCAAAAAAAAAAAAAAAAGTTCTTGTGGAAGTAATTAAGCTGTTCACAAAATGGGCTTATTTTAAAACTATGCTTAATACTTTTTGGAACTTTCAAATGACTGGACAATAGAATGTTTTTAAAGACAAATAAGAAGTGATTTTATGACTAACAATTGAGTTAATATTAAGGAAAATACAGTTAATTGAAATTACCATAAAAAATGGTGATGATGGTACTGGACTCTCAAACATATTTTGTGATTTAAGGGTTGCCCTTTATAAAAGTTATTGATCAGATTTTAATTACTGTGCCATAAAATGTTGAAAGAAAAATTTTGCTTTCAGGATTTTATAATACTGTATATTATTTTTTGTGTGTGTCTTACTATTTTGTCAAAGGTCTTTGTTCAAATTTTATTTGACTTTTATTTAGAAAATGTTGGGTATGATACACTGAATGTTTTTTATGTATAATTAAAGTGACTGATTCAAAGGAAATGCTGTAATTAAAAGTTTTAAACTCGTATGGATGGCTGTATATTTACAATGGTGCTAGAAATACCTTTGTCAGGTTAATAGGAATACAGAAATAGTAAAACATTAAATCACTGTTCTTTATAAAAACCTAATTTAATTATAATTTTTGCATGTGTCTGTTGCAGTGTTAAGTAACTTGGCTGAAGGAATCACAGAAAAGATAATTTTTGTTTCCATTTAATGTTTCATGCCATGTTATTGCCATGCACTATCCTTTTTGTCAAAACATACCCAATGTTGGCTAATTAAGTCTATAACAGCATGATGGAGGGAGCTGGGGCATCAGTGTTGCATTACCAAGTTAGATTTTGTAAGGAACAATGAATTAAACTTGCATTTGCATGTTATGATACATTACTTTTGTTTTATAGGTAAACTGTCATTGTAATTTATTTTTGACAAACAAAATATGCAGCTTTCCATATAGAAAACTGGTGAATGAGTGAAACAACTGTGGTGCTACTGTGTTCAACTGTGGTGTGAGAGGATAACAAGGCAACCCAAGGTGCTGGACAACGTCTGTCAGCAACATCTCTTGGATGGAAAGGCTTTAAATAGTATATTTGAGTATAAAACTGATATCTTACACTAAAAAGTTGAGTTTCTCTCCTATGAATAATATGAGAATTTGTATAATTATTTGCTTGAATATTTTTTTTAATTTTTGTTAAACCTTTTCCCCAAGCTTGATGTAGATGTGTGAGGACATTCCAAACATCGCTACCTGAAGAATGTTATGGTGCCAAGGCACCCTAAGCAAGTGCTAGATTGATATTCGAGTGTTAAGGTGTGTGGCACCCTATGATTGTTTATATGCTAGCAAGAAATTTAGTATGTATGTTTATGCAGAAATTTTTCACACAAATGTATTGCAAGTAGATACAAGTGTTCACACTGTTTTGGCTTTCCTTTTCAAAATATTAAATGTTACTGACCTTACCAGTTTAATGTGAATTATGATTTTGTGATTCTTCTTGAAGATTTTGTGATTATATATTATAAATGCCTTTGTGGATATAATACTGTATAAATACTCATAGGGTGTGTGGAGTCGCTAGTCTATAGGGTGAATGGGATGTTCTAAACATGCCCAGCCACCATGCCCAAATTTTTAAAGGAGCACTTTTAAGAACCTGGAAAATACTACTGTACATGACTAAATGTGATTTTTAAGTAATTAAAGCATTCGGCTTATTCTTAGTGAAATTTGAGAATTTGGGCAGCTGTCTCAGGTGACGCATGGGACACTAAACAGTTGTACTGTAGTTGTAATGCTAAATAAAGTACTCAGTGTGAAGTTTGTTTTATATTGTACCTGAACATAATTTTGGTATATAATTTTTTTTTAACGCACCGGCCATCTTCCACCGAAGTGGAAAAGAAATACTTTCACAATCACTGATACTACAGCTCAGATGCCTCTAAACTGCTACATCTCCACCCCTCCTTCAGAGTGAATGCACTGTACTTCTCATCTCCAGATCTCTAAGTCTGGCAAACTGGTTTCCCTGAATCCCTTCACAAATGTTACCTTCCTCAAACTCCTGGAGTATACCTGGAGACAGTTTTGGGGGTTAATGCCCTCATGGCCCAGTCTCTGACCAGGCTTCATGGTGATGGCCTGCTCAACCAGGCTGTTACTGTTGGCTGCACGCAACCCAACGTATGAACCACAGCCCAGCTGGTCAGGTACTGACTTTAGGTGCCTGTCCAGCTCCTCCTTGAAGATTGTCAGGGGTCTATTGATAATTCCTCTTGTGTATGCTGGGAGGCAGTTGAACAGTCTTTGGCCCCTGACACTTAATGTGTTGTCTCTTTATCATGCTAGTGATGCCCCTGCTTTCATTGGGGGGGATGTTGCATTGTCTGCCTAGCCTTTTGCTTTCATAGGGAGCTAATTCCTCTAGGATTTTCCAAGTGTGTATAACCATGTATCTCTTCTAGGGAGTAGAGGTTGAGAAGCTTCAAGCATTCCCAGTAATTGAGATGTTTTATTGCAGTTATGTTTGCCATGAAGGTTCTCTGTACATTTTCTAGTTCAGCAATTTCACCTGCCTTGAAAGGTGCTATT